CAGAGAGTTGAAATAAAGTTGAGACAGTGCAATACATGCAGGAAAACATGGAGTAGAATCGATTCTTTTTTCAAAACAGCGAGCACAGTTCTAACGGTAGGAGTAACGGTGGCAACGGCCGTGACTGGTGGATTAATGCTTCCGGTCATCGTCCCAACCGTATTGGCTGCATTAACAGCCGTTCAAACGACCTCTTGCGGCCTCATCACTTTAGGTTTCACGAGCAAAAAGAAAGCTCATTATAAAAAGAAAACGGATATCTTGAATATGTATCTTAATCAATTGTACATCTTTTTCGAAAGATCGAGAGAAGACAAGAACATAACAGTTGAAGAATTAAAAGAATTCAATGAAATTTTGGACAAATTCCATACAGAAATCAAAAATATATACTTAAAAAAATATGAATAAAATCGAACACGATGAAACATTGATAGAAAACGCCCTATTTTCCGATGTTATCAAGGCTATCTCTGATAAATTTAAAACATTCAAAGGACAAATTAAAATAGATGGAGAGATAGTCGAGGAAGGGAATCACAGACAATACATGTCACTCCTCGGTTTCAATGCCAAAACCTTTCACAATATCTTTTCAAATATGGACGAAAAATCCGATGCTTCCGATTGGTATTTTACAGGAAAAATAATTTTAATGAAAGACAATTTCCAAGAAATCAAAAGGTCGAGAGTTGGTAGAGGAGGAACTGTTCTACTTAAAAAGATAAATGAATACGAAGGCGAAAATTGTTACATACCTACAGATGGTCACTGTTTTATCAAATGCGTCAATCGTGTTTTGAACAAAGATTTAACGTGTAAATTTCAAGAATACATCAACGGGTTTTCAAAAGCAAATAGAAAAAGAGTGATGACTTGTGCTAGAATGAAGGAATTCAACAAGAAATTTAACACTTCGTTTCAAATTTATAATCCCAAAAACAGACATTTTCATCCCAGAGACGTTCACGATGAATTAGATTGGGTTTTTTACTTACACAACTCGCATTTCTGTCTGTTAGAAGAAGCCAAAAAAGTTTGGGAATTCAAGAAATAGAAGACAATTACGAACAGGTGTGGAAAACGTGTAGAGACGATAACGCAGTAACACAGGTTTCACCCCTCAAACTAAACGTGCTTTCAAGTATGAGTGATGATGCGTTATTCGCTTGGGATTGCGAAACGTATTCAGAAAAAAACAGTCGAAGAGCAATTCCTTATGCCTGCACTTTAATTAATTCAGAAAAACTAAGAAAAAAGTTAGAAATGATAAAAAATATCTTTCCTACTGATAATGTTCCAGAAGAATTTAAGGATAAACTAATGAATGTAGTAGAACTATTTGTAGGTACAGATTGTATAGATCAAATGTTGAAATATTTAGGTCAATATGATAGAAAGAGATTAATATTAATTTCTCATAACGGCAGTGGTTTCGACAACTGGATCGTGCTTAAAAATACAAAAAAACTAACGCATTGCCCTTTAAAAACACCCAGAGGAATTCTATCTTTTCCTTTATCTAATCCATACACAGATGAAGATTTACAGAAAAAATGGAAAAGACAGAAAGAAATAAAGGGTATTAATTTCACGTGTTCCTATCAACACGAATCCTCTAGTTTGGCCGCATGGGGAAATTCTTCCAATCTTCCCACGAATTTGAGAAAGATTGCCGACGTAGATATCGCTAAATACACACAAGACAACTGGGAGGAATTGAGACACGAATGGGAACCTTACGCCAAGAGAGACACTCTCTGTTTGGGAGCTTGTTTGATAAAATACAACCAAGTCACGAAAGAAGTTGTAAACCAGAATATGTCCAATAATCTAACGGCTCCATCTTTATCTTTAAAGGGTTGGTATTATTTATATCATTACGATAAAGAAATGGTGGAAGAAGAATGGTATGAAACTACTAGAATGGTTGCGAAACATACCGAAAAAGAAAATATAGAAAAAGTTTATTCGCACACTAAATCCTTTTATAAGAAATTTTATCAGACGATCTAATGAAGAAATAGAAAATCATTTGAAACGAACAAAATGGATGAAATTTGTAACGTATTAAAGGAATATATTTCACAAACAGAAAGTAATAAGATAATTGATTTATTCAAAGAATACAGCGCAAGCACAAAAGACAAAACGGAGCATTCTAATACTAAACTAATGGCATTTGATGCTAACGGTTTATACGCTTCCGCCATGTCGGATTTAGACTGAATATCCGAGAGCGGAAGGAGGAAGATCGTTTCTACCAGAAGAAGAAAAAGAATTTGTAAAACTCTTCAATAAACAAAAATTCAGACCTAGAACAGCAATTTTAACAGTGTGGTTTGACTATCCCAAAAACATGTTCTTCCAACCGATACCAGCTAAAGATAAAATCACTTTCACGAATAAAGGAGGTAAAAAGGAAACTGGTACTAAAATCAGGTTCAGAAATGGTTTCTGTCACGACGTTTTAACATCGGTCGATATTCAAGAAATAGTGAAAGCTGGTGGAAGAATTATTAGAATATTAGAAACTCCACCCTATAGAGATTATATTTTAATTTTGAGAGATCTAAGAAATAAATATAAACGAGAAGGTAATATCGTGGGTAGTAATTGCATGAAATTATTAGGTAATTCCTTGTATGGTAAATCAATTCAGAAAGACATATTCACAACTAGACATTTATGGAATGAAGCAACTTTACAGGCCAACTTTGATTCACGTGTTAAAACCTAAAGTCTTTGAATGGCATTTAGCAATTGTGAGTACGATATATAGACACAGCTTTATGGAACAACAATCACTGGTTAAAGTTTTATGCAACGTGTTTCCCTTATTACACACAATCTATTCTTTCAAATGATATATAACACTTGGCATTTTGATTGAAATTGCGCTTTTTAGAATTCGAAAATTTTGTATTGACTTCTGTGCCTGAGGACGACGGGGGAAACACGTCGAAACGTTGCATAAAACTTTAACCAGTGATTGTTGTTCCATAAAGCTGTGTCTATATAGTGTTAAAACCTATGAGAAAATTAATGATACTCAATTTATTGTTGAAACAGAAATTGAAGAAAAAGAGATTACTACCGAAGATAGTAATCTACACGACTAACACCTAGTCATTTGGGATCATTCGTTTTATCTCACAGTAAAAAAATAATGAACAATTTCATTCACGTCATAAATGGATTTTATAAACCCGAAATATACTATACCGACACAGATAGTTTGTACATTTCATCCAACAATTGGGAAAAACTAAACAGAGCTGGTTTGGTCTCCGAAAAAGACTATTGCAAAGGTAAAAACGATTACGGTGACGGTGGAATTATATTTGGTTTATATTTAGCACCAAAAGTCAAATACAACAACGTTTTGACTTCTGATGGTGTCTTAAAAGAAAAGAAAACGTTTAAATGTTATTCTAATGATAATTTAAGTGTAGAAGATTACGTTCAGTTAGCAAGCGGACATGATGTGTCGAACGAATTTAATAAACCATGGGAAAAAAGTTTCACCAATGGAGTAGTTATTCCAAATTTAGAAGTTATTTGACTGGTAAATAGGTCGTTTGAAACGGTTTCTCTATAATTCTGTATCCGATCACGTCGATGTCGTTCTCGATGTTGGCCTTGTGCGGCGCCAATGTCGATTGCGCGTATATTCGTTTATCGAACCCTAGTAACGCATTCAACGAATTTTCTACGTTGAAATCGACTTTCAACTTTATTTCTCAAGATCAGTTTTATTTTGTTCAGATTCAAATTACCTTCGAATTCGATATTGTTTTTACCGTTCACGCTTCCTGCGTATTCGGATAGGTATTCGTTGATGGGGCTACGTATTCGTAGCTTCCCGGTAGTAAGCTTATGGTTTCGAACGTAACTCCGTTATCCGTCGATATTTTTAATTGATTGTTTTTTTCGTTGATGTTTCTAATGGATGTAAACGGAGAAATACTTTAATCCCAGTTCGTACTGTTTATTGCGATCGAGTTCATACTCGTAGTTTAGAGACAATTTGATGTCTGGTTTATTCGAGGTGATAACGAACAATTGTTCTTTATTGGACATTTTTAATGACGTTTATATAGTCTTCTTTAGTGATGATTTCTTTCTCCAAAAGTCGTTTTAATATGCCATTGACTTCGTTGTATTGTCTGTCCGATCGATGACCTTCTTTCATGGCCGCTAATATTATTTCTAATCTATTAAGCAATTCTTTATTGTTGTCGGATAAAAACGTTATACCTTGTCCAGATGCCACCATATCATCGAATTCGTCTATTTCTTGTATGATTGGTGGATAGTCTTCTGTATAATCATCTACCTCCTCTTCATCTTGCTCAATAACTTTTGTTATATATAAATCAACTTCTTTCAATCTTCTTGTTTCGGGTCCTGACTTTCTGATCACATGTAGAAATTTTGAGTATGCTACTAAATCCTTGTAATCGGCAATTTCAACATCCTCGCCATTCATTAAATCTATTAACCCTCTCGTTAATGTGTATATGTAATCTTTTGTATCGATTATAAATTCTAAAACCATTGAACAACAAACCCGCTTCATCAATGATTGGTGAAATGCTTTTTGGTAATTCTGGGCTAGGGTTTGAAAAAAGACGTTTTACATCATCTACTGTCCTAATTATAACACCACTATATTCAATCGCTTTGGGGTGATGAGGTGTGGGTTCTATACGAGGCGTGGATTCTATAGCGAATCTCTTTTTAATATCTTCTTGACTTTTTAATATGGGTTGAAATAGAGTCTGAAGATTTTCCGTTAATCCGAGTTGTTGTAATCTGTTATTTTCAACTTGGGTCTTTATTTTATTCTTAGCTTTGAAATATTCTCTATTTCTTTTTAAAAAATCATTCCAATCCGTCATTTTTAAAAAAATAAAATTAACATATATCGATCATAACTCTTTCTCCCGCAGGTTTTCTAGTATTTACAAATACATATCCATGATCATCTGGGTTTCTCCATTGAGCTTTACAAACCTTTTTAAAATGTATCTCTATCCATTCCGTGATTTATAGACTGAATGATTTGAGATAAATCTTTATCATTTAATTCAAATAATAAAAAAAACAATTTGCGTTCTTTCTGATAAACAAGGCGTCCATTCCGTAGAAAGATTGGGATTGATATATGCAGTGACAGTTGTGATGTCTTCCTTTGGTGAAGAATTCTTGTTTGAACGGTTTGACTTTTTTGTGCCACGCAGTCGTCAAAGACAATCAAGTTCTTTCGGTGGTTGTCGATTTTAGTCAAGTCTAAAATCGTTGACGTTTTTAGTCAGAAACACTTTGACGTCGGTTGGTTTCAGAGAAGGATTCTTTTCTTTGATAAAGCCGTCTAAAATGTCTTTTATTTCCGCGTTCTCTTGCAAGTCTTCGTTGCTTTCGTAGTAGTGAAAAATGTCTTGAACTTCTTCTTTCGAGATGTATTCCAAAGCTTTGAGAAACTGATAATAGGATTGTTCGGGAGTAGTCGTGTAAATATACAGAGACTCGAAATCTAACAGATTCGGTGTTGTCAACATGTTAAAAGTGAGATAAGTCTTTCCACAACCCGAAGATCCGCAAATGCACATGAGCATGGGGTTGCTAGGAAATATGTCCGAATGTTTGAATTTCTTGCCCATTTTTATTTATTACATTTTCGTACCAAAAATCACCCCATTCCCTTTATACTTTGAAAGAAAGATTCCCTCGCCCGAACGTATGTTTTTAAAAAATATGGCGTTGCCCTTGCCAGTGTCGATTTTATCTATTAATTTGCTTAATCCTTCTTTAACAGTTTTCTTGGTTTCTTCGCCAAATCTTTGTCCGAATTCTTTAACCGTTATCTCCTACTCCCGAACCTCCTCGTGCTTCTCTTTCCATTGCCAAATTGTGTCTACGTGCTTCGGCGTTTGCAGCGGCTTCAGCTTTCTTATCGTTGACAGCTTTGGCTATCCCAGCAGCTCCACCGGCAGTTGCACCAGCTGCAGCTAAACCAGCAAAGATTAAAGGTAAGAAAGGTAAAAATCCACCTTTTTTAGTTAAATTCTCATCAATTCTTTCCAAGTCTATATCGTCTCTGACTTTGCAATGTTTGTATTTATCGATAATCTTTTGGGTTATATGCACTTTTTTACCGTTGTAAGTTATTAGAGTCGGCGAATTCGTTTCCATAGCTTCTATTATTTTCATAACTAAAGTTTCTGGTTTCATTTTTAAAGGGTTTTTTTATTCAATTCTTATCATTCTTCTATCTGATATTTTAATCAAATGTTTTGCTTCTTCCAGCATTAAACAGTAGCCGGTCACATCTCCTTGTGTTTTATCGATGTGAATATTTATGTTTACCCCTGTTTTGAAAAGATCTTCTTGATGAGCTGACAGATCGAAACAAAAGATTGGATGATTGAGTGAAAAATCTGTGTATTCAAACTGAGGCGTATTTCCAAACAATTCGCACATGTTTTTATAGTTTCTGTACAATTCGTTGTAATCTTTTTGGCAGGATAATTATCGTTGTTCAATCTGACTTGAACTTTGCGAATGATGGGATCTTGAGTATGGTTCAATGCCACTCTGGAAATGTTGTTGTTGTTTGTCTGAGAGTCTGGCAAGTTTTTGAAACCGACCATTAGATATCTCGCTGGTTTGACGGTGTTGGTGATTGGCCACGTGGTGGATTCTCCCGTTAAAGTCATGCTACCTACAGTGTTACGACGAAGAAAAGCAATTTCGATGTCTTTGGTTAAAGAGTTGAATATTCTCGTTTCCACTTCTACGGAAGGAGTGATTACCGGTATGTAAAGTTGGATATTCGTTATTTCCAAGAGTTGTTTTCACCAAAGAATATCTTGTCTCCGCGAGTCACTCTTTCCAGTGTGTTTCTAGCAACTACCCTTATCCTAGCAAGGTCTGCGTCATTTGCTACAGTTCTGACCGGTTCTTTTAAAACTTCTCCGTCACCGACATCGGGAATCCATCCCGAAACTGAATCGTAGTTTTTGGGATACAGAACCGTTTTCAACATTGTGTCAAAGTCGCCGGGGTGTTTTATGGTCTCTATCGGATTTGAACCAGCTTCCAAAACCATTTCGCTGAGTAAAGACGAAAAGAAGTTGTTTTCTGAAGTCGTGTTGGTTTGTGGAATTCGATTCTGAGCGGCGTCTTTGATTTTGAAATCGCATCGGAAATGGGCATCGGAAAGCAGCAACGAATTAATTTCAAAGGTAACTCTTCCTCCGTCGTTTATTTGGGTCTTTGTCCCTACCGATGGTGAGATGATTACGTAATCCTCTTTCTTCTTGTTGAACGAATATTGAATCGGATCATACAATTGAAAGATTGGATCCAATCTGTAATTTTTGCTTGCCATTTTTATCCAATGATTTTAAACCATTTTCCTTGTTTTTCTAGGGCTTGTCGTTCTAGTCTCTTGTTTCTTAGTTCTCTTATTAGCTGCAGTTCTTTAAGTTCGTCAGATTAATATTTACTCCTGCTTTTGCCACAGATCCAAGAGCTTGCGCTTTTGAGGAAATGAGCGATTTGTTTTTTGAGACAAAATTGGCCCCTTTCGGGATGAGAGATTTTAGCGCAGAGAAGAAGCCGTCTCCTTCGAATTTTTTTTGTTCGGGTTTTAAAATTAAAGACATTTTTAAGGCGGTTATTTTATACTGTATTATTATAGGGATTCTTGCCTGTAGTTTGGGTAATTTATAA